ACGTGTTGGGTGTAGATACGGTGAACAAAGATTCAGCAATCAGCCTCTCTCTTTACCTACCTATATTACTAGAAGTTAATTGGTGGATGGTGTCTGGCAGTGGAATCCAGGACAACGCGCATTTCATCCTATTTGGGGCTCGTCGGCTGGGTGTACCTGCATTCCGCAGTGAGCGATGATGTTCCCACCGAGGCTCGAACCCAATGCCCATAGTTTCAAATGCCAAAGCGTTATCCACTAGAACACTCAGGCCACAAGAGCCACCTCTTGTGCAGCGGGCCATATTATTTATTTAAGTGAATTTTAGATTTTCTTGTCGGTTGGTTGGACTGAATTGCTCGGTCTCAGGTTGATGTATCAGCTTTTTGTACAGATGCTTCAACGATGTCTTAGAATTTTAATCCTCTCCTACCCTATCGCATGGTTGTATGTTAATGTATGCAGTGCAGTTGCTGAGCTTTTTTCTAAATTACTTATCTTTGCGGTGTCAAGCATTCTAACTTTCGTTAAATTTTTATGTCCTGACAATTTGACTACTCCTGATATACTGGTTAGATTAGATTAGATTAGATAAGCTTTATTCCAAATCAGTACTTGTGATACAGAATGGAATTCTCAGCATTTTACTACAATATTGCATCCAGTTGTTACATTAACAATAAATAAAGTTCTACATAGATTAAAGTTATCTCAGTCAGCTTTGACAACAACATATTAGTATGTCGGTAGCAAAGCCAAAATTAAAAGTGTTTGAAGGTGTTAGAAAAGTAGATACTACTAGCATATTTACTGGCGTAAGCGATAGCGAAATGGTCGAGATATACAGAGTGTGAAAGAACGAACAAGAATGTTTTAAGTAGAGTTTGTAAGGAAGAGAGAAACAAAGCAGCACATAACAAAAATAAATACAGAATGAAGAGCGAGAAAACGTTGTACCTATAAATGATGTGAGTTGGAAAGACGAAATCCATTGGTTCTACTGACTATTTAATAAGTTAAAGGTTTTATGCCTGATGAATTCTTTATCGCACAGAACACGAGCTAGGTAGGCTATGGATGAGTTTTTGTACTTACTAGTGCGGGCATACAGTTTCCTATATAGGCTTCTGGCTTTCCCTGAAGACCTATGTAGTTGACTTAACCCATAATCATTGGAAGGTTTCTTGTAAATTATATTATTTTACAATATTGGTTCAACCGGGTCCTTTAACCTACAGTGCTTGTCGCTCGGTGAATTTGTAGGTTTAAAAGCTACGCTAATTCTTGTCCCTTTTTAAGAATCCTATGTAGTTCTTCAGAAGGAGGAGGAGGAGGATGTCAAAAGCAGGAAGGGGAGAGAAAGGCAGACCTTCATTAATTTGAAACCAGTACAGAAATCTACTGAACTTCTCAGCACAAAGAACAAGATTCGAATTTTCAACACAGTTGTCAAGTCACTGCCTCTGCATATTTCACAAAGTGTGAGAGCGCACCACGGGAAGTATTTCAAATAGGCTACTGAAGACTTTCACCAACAGTCGCCTTTATTCGACAATGAAAATTATATAAGATAAGCAACTAGGCACTCTAGCAGGCAGTCAGCTAATCAAAATCTTATTGGTCAACAAATATGTCGAATGGGATGGAGATGGATTGACCACACCTCGAGAAAAGAATTAAGAAATTAAGATATGTTGCTAAAGCCATTTATTTCTTTTGGAACCCAAAGAGATAATAATAATAATGTAATTTCTATTCTAGTTTTAACCCTAATAGTAACCCAATTCTGAGTAGAAAAATAAATCAGGAAGAAATTACAGAAGTTAGAATTCAAGGACCATTGGATCGGGTCCCAGTGGCTTAATGGTATACGAGCTCGCCTTGTAACCGGAAGGTCCTGGATTCGAACCCTGGCGGTGGGTGCGTACTGATCAAGAGTCCCGAACTAGGACGAAACAGCTGTCCAGTACTCCCAGGGTTTCCAATGGTTCTCTAACTAACGTCAGCTCATGATGAAATCCTGAAATTACAGATTACCCGGTGAATGCATTGGATGAAGAGAGTTGAACGATTTAATTCACGTGTGTTCAAGGTCACCCGGTTGGTCATTCGTGTGGGTTGTGAAACTCCACATTTAATATTGGTCTCAGTGTTGTTTGTCAGAGCAGATTTCGTAACGTATCAGTATCAGTTAGACAGCTGTTTCGTCTTAATTCATGACTCTTCATCCATCCCCACCCATTTGACTAGAGGTCGAACGCGTAACCAGCAAGCTCGTTGACCATTCACCGCCTGTGGCTGGAATTCAGTGGCACGTGAATTCTAACTCTGTTACTTTTTGACACATAGCTCTCCTCAACCAATGCCTTCAGCGAGCATCCACTTCACGCTGACAGAGTGGACCCCAGTGGTCATGACTTTTCAAATGTTCCAAGTGGTTGAATGATTAACAAATTCGATCTTATAAACCTGAAGGTCCTAAATTCGATCTCTAGTAGGGTCGGGGTGGGGACTGATGAAGAGTCGCAGAGGAGGATGAAACAGCTTACCAATGTCCCTTGGTTTTTCATTGATCTGTAACTGATATTGTTGCATGACAAAATCTACACCAAAATTATTTCAGGTTACTACAAAAGGCATGTTATTATTATTAGTATTAGAAGTAGTAATCAATACAACATATAGACAAATGCACCGATTTAAACATAATCAAATCAGTACTGAAGACCTAAATCATCTGGTCTAGACATTCAATGTGATCAAAACATCAGTGGTCAGAAAAAGTATGCTTTTTAAAGATATTTTTTCAGCTTAAAATAAACTCCATTTATAAAAGAAAATAAGGAGTCAGTTGTCTAATTTCCAGTAACCATTAGTTGATACCAACCTCATAGGCATTAGGATCTTCTTGAAAATAACATACCAATTTATCATCATCATCAACGTCATCAGAGGCAGTGACAGCCAACAATATGACAACTTAACAGACACTTCTTTACTCCTTAAATTACGCTGAATCAAGCAGATAATAAAACTGAAGATAAATGGAATGTATTGAAAGGTAGGTGGTACGTGTATCTGATGTAAGGAATGCAGACATGTATGTATCTTGCGGGATAAACATATTGGATTGCACGAAAGGTTGTTACAGAGAAGAAAAATTTCCTTTTCATCGAACACATCAACCAGTCTCCAAATTCATAAATATATAAAAAATAAAGTGGGAAAGTCGCAGAACGATTTCCCAATCAAAGGTCAAATTATAACAAAAAACAATCATCAAAATTATGTGATAGAAACAAGGGATAAACACGTTATAATCAAAAAAATGAAAAAACACGTTTGGCTAAGTAAACCTTATCGCATAATAACTACCAAGAAAACTGGATGATTGTGATGGCCATAGTAAAGACAAAGGTTAGGTGGTATTTCTTTTGGATATAACACAGAATTAACCTGATTTTTTAGATCCCCAATGCTTCAGTCATACCCAGATATCTTGTTCTCATCCCCTTTGAAGGGCTTAATAGGAATTTTTACAGGGCTTTGAAGGATTTCTTAAAGGGAGAAGAATTTCTTGAGTTTATCGAATGTTCTTTTACTTCTGTATAAACACACACACACACACCCACGCCCTGCCTTTTTCTAGACAGACTGAATAATGTTCTCCAGTACATTTTACAAGCGGATGCACAGTATGCCCAATACAGTCATCTCAACAGTAGCAAACAAACTGTTATGGACATTTCGACATGGCTCAATGTAACAAACTGTCTTTCGTATGCTAGCTGAATAGGTTCTCGTAAACAATATGTTATTCATCATTGGACAAAGAAGTATGTTTTACTGAGAGACCCTAAGATCTAACCTTGGATACTGAATAACTAAACAATTGCTGTCTATATATTAAGTTTGATTCAGCTGCAGAGAATTTTTATTTATTTATAATCATAATCACCGATATTTTGCAACTATAGAACCTGAAAATAATTTATCTTATGTGAATGATTTTTCAGTGTAGATTTATCCGGTGAAGCGTTAGGAAAGTTAAAGAATTAGTGAAAACCAAATAAAACTTAACAAAAATGCCTCGTCCTAGTTTTAAACTCTTCAGAACTGACTGCAAGCATGAAACCAACCATAAGAGACTGAATACAGGACCCTCAGATTAATTGGCTTAACCACCAAGATGGAGTTCTGATGCATAATATATATGGCGTCGCCACCATGAAATCTACAATAAAATTACCTGAAATGCCCACAAATTCTTGTTGTCTGTAGGTCTTACACTTAACCCCTGATGAAACTATGGGAACGCACAACCTGAATAGTTTAAATCTAGAACGAGGCTCTTAGCCAACGCTAACTGGTATTTAATGCCTCTCTAAATGCTTTAATTTTGTAACGAAAGGCCTACAGACTCAAAACATTGTTAGTAAATTATGCTTTCTATATTAGAGAATAATTTTATTTAATACATAAAACACAATATGATACACTGATGCAGATTTGAGCCTAATCTATTGAAATATCTCTTGTCACTTCTCTCTACGACTGCAGACACTTCAGTCGTTCTGCCTCTGCTAGCATGGACGCTTCAACCTGGGTAACTAGACAGTATAAACAGCTTCCAGACAATAAATGAGCTGGGAAACAATTGAGTTGTAACTAGCTAACTAGCTATTATGTATGTTTGTGTTGCAGTGGTAGAACACGCACTAACCACACAGTCTGTCCAGGTTCGATTTTCATCCATACCTTATCCAGTTCAGTAACTAGTAGTAAGCCAATTAAAAGAGGAAAGATTAGGCGTGCAGTTAACAACCTCATGCTATAAAATCCGCCCCATATCTCTGCTCTGAGTCAAACTGCTAGTGACACCGTGGTTGCTCTATCTTGAAGAGTCTTTGTGTTGCATGAATGTTCAATAATTCTATGAATGATGATGAAACGTATACTGAAATTAACATTCATCATTTTCTCAGTTATGATTATTACCATTATTCTATTTGTTTTCCCAGATTACTCGTTATTTAAACAAATCAATAATGAATGGAATAGAACAAGTTGCATTTGGTATAAAATCTAATTTCCATAGTTACTTAATTATTAATTCATCATATTCATCACATACAATTGATGTATACATCACATTACCAGATCATTTCCCGACATCAGGAGTCATTGATTTAACCCCTGGTTATATTAATCATGTACAGTTACAAATGGTACGTCTGAAACGCATCCAAGAAAATCAGAAATGTCATAATAAAAAGTATTCATCAATTATATTCGACGCTGACTTAACGACAAAACGTCTAGTTGATGATACTGGTGGAGATTTATGCCATCGATTATTATCACAATATTTATATTTCCAAGAATGTCATTGTTATAGTCCATTTCTGCCGTATGGTTATTTTCCTGATTTATTTAACATATCTTACAATAAAAATAATAATTACACTACTGGATCAATTTTACAACCAGTCCTGTGTTTAAATATGTCAGTATTCAATAAATATGAACTGGCGGAAAATTCGAATTGCATGTATCGTGTATTTAAAAAGTACAGCAATTCTAGTGTATATATGAGTTTAAAAGAAGCTAAACAGTGTCAATATTATGCGAGTTCACCATACTGTGATGAAGTAAAGTATAATCAATTAGGCATAGTACGTAAACCAATCGGGGAATTATGGGGTAGTGCGTATAATGAAGCTAGAGGTAACTTTTTATTGAGCACATTTCGTGATATTGTAGCATCTAGCCGTAATAACAACGATAAAGAGGATTTCAGTGAATACAACAATGAAATATTTCACAATGAATCAAGACGTCAAGAAATACTCAATCAGTTACGTAATAATTTTGCCATAATAATGATAGAACGTGCTAGTCCGCATGGGAGATTGGTTCTTGAAGAAAATGAATACCCATTATCTCGATTATTATCTGATATTGGTGGCAACATGGGATTATGGATTGGTATATCTGTGATTGGTTTATTTGAGTTTTTTGAACTTGTTGGCTTCATCATATATGCATTAGTTAATTATTTTAAAAGTTTGTATGAAAACAGATTGACAATAAATTCATTCAAATCATAATGTTTTTAAGTTACTTTCAATTCCTTCTTTTGTTTTTGAGAAAAGCCAGCCTTATTAGATTTATCTTACATTTTTACCACAACCATGTCTTTGTTTAAACTGACTAGAGAACATCGAACAGTGTTGTTCAATGTCATATTTTAAGAGCGCAATATGAAATTATTCGTATTCAAAAGTGAAATTTATGTGGATTTTAGATAACAAAGAAAATGAATATCCATATATACATTCACGTATATACAGACTTAGTCGTGTTTGCATATCTATGCAGGTATTACAGGCAGATCTTATGTGTACATTTTGATTTTCATGTATATTGATGAAATAACAACTGTTTCAGTGCAATTACATACTAGTGATAAAAAATCGATTCTTGAGTAGTAATTAGCTGCTCTGTTTATTTAATTTAATTTTTTTATTTAATACAAAGGCGATTTATTTTATTTTTATTTGTTTAGTTTATCCGTCAGATGTTGTACATAAATGAACTTCCTTTAAAAAAATATATATACACATTATGAAAGATTGTAATTGTGTACGATTCAATTTTGAATTTGGCCTACTAATTTCAGTCTTGATTACTCGTACTGATTATCAGTAAATAACATTTTACATACTTTTTAACTGTATTTACGTATAGGCATTAGTGTACCCGAGGGAATTTCAACATATCAAATCATAGGGAATTGTTTCTGTGAGGAAAATAGGCTGTTAATGTTTATTAGGATTGACGGTGGCTAGCAAGAGAATTAAGTATGTGTGAATTTCGTCCTGTTTGGGACCGATACATTGGATGTACCTTCATTCTCAGTGAAGGATAGAGTTTCCACTGAGACCCCATGATAACACTCTGTGTTAGGATAGACAAACTTTTCCGTTAGCCGTAACAATATGATTTATGCATGTATCGATATGATAACCATATTGGACAGTTTGAATTCGTTAAAGGTGTGATTCGATAATTAATGGCTCAATTTTATGAGGGTCTCGAATGTCGTACAACCGGGCAGTTTTGTTTTATTTTGGGCCGAAAGTTCTGAGGTTTTATAAATATAATATACCATGCATTTTATCTAATGAAGGTCGTTTTTACTGTTTTTCCAGTCTAATTTTTGAGTCTGTCTCAGTGTGGGAGATATTTTCAGTTGATTATTTAATTACATTATCGCCTTCTGGAGGCACAACTAACTATCATTACTGGTACATTCAGCTGGTGAACCTGAAATAAGATTGCTCTGAAAGCCATCGTCAACCAAAAAACGTGGTGATTAAAATCCTTATTCAACTGCTTAAAAGGAAATTAACAGGAACATATACATAGATAATATTTACCAGTCCATAAGAGGAAAATCTCATACACCAAAAGACGAACTTCAGGTCAAGGAAACAATCATTACAAAGGTAAGTAGCCTAGAGGGTGTAAAAACACACCAAAACAGCCAATAACCTTCAAGTTCACCAGAAGAGATGACTAGTAAACTCGTGGAGACATCTAAAATCTCATTTCAAATTGAAGTATGAGCTGAAGATGCTTCCTAGAAAGGTAATGAAAGCTTTGCAAATAAACCAACCAGCTCAGAGAATACAACTACATCAATGTCTCCTTTGAAGCTGAAAATATTTTGATAAGGCCGACTAAACTGTACTAGAGAGTTTTCCCTTTACACTATTTTGAATTATTCTTAGTGACATAATCTCTTTTTCTCACTATATGTCTCCACCTATCTCACTTCACATATGAGTTATTCCATGATGAACCATTCATCGCAGTGCTGTAAATGTCCTAGTAATAACGATGATAATAGCAATAATGATGACAGTAAGATTAATGGTAGTAAAAGTACAAATGGTAAGAATAATGAAGATAGTATGATAACCAAACCAATTTATTTATTGAACTAGATCGAAATAAATAAACAACTGTCATAAAAGTATGACAGAAGTGAAGAATAAGAAAAGCAGGGAGAAGTTTTAATTAGTTCACCCGATTTACCCTAACCAAATTGGGAACCGTCATCTGCTGGGGACTAGACATATTGCCAACGACCTCTACTTACTGAACAGTCGAAACAGCAGAGGCTATTGTAATTCTCTAGGAACAACTAAAACTCTCCATACAGAAGAAACACCTGTAGATGTAACAATAAAAGACAGAAGAGCTGGCAACGGACCTTTATTAAGAAAGAACACGTCATATTTGTACATTTTTATACACATTACAATACAGCTAGGTCAGAGGACAGTATGTTGTTCTGAATGGTTTGTGGTAGGCCCAAGGTTAAACAATAGGACGAAAATTATTGAAATTAACCCCAGATTGTTTAAGAAGTCGAAACAAGATTTTTCTGAACATTTCGCTGTGTAAGCCACAGCTTCTTCAGCAGATTTATTCAAATTTTATTAATCATCAAAATATATAGTCAAACATTTTTTACATAAATTGAAGTCAGTTTATTTGAAGGTCACTTGTCGGTAGACGTTTGTAAGAATAAAAATATGCAAGCAGTCATCATATATTTGCAATGACTAATGTCAAATTGTTATTGTGTATACTTTTTCTGTATGAGTGTGTGTGAGTGTATGTTATATGTCATATGGAAAAGACGTCAGTTCACGTGTGATAAACATGATGATACATTTTTAAAGGTCACAGAGGTTCATAGAGGCTTTTGTTGTTTTTTCATCTGTTTTGCTTCATTAGAGTTTGCCACATAGGTGGTAAGTCTATCCCTTCTTTCCCCTTTCACTGCATTATATTTGACTGAAATATGTTAAGCGTCAGAGGTCAGTCTATCCTTATATGAACGAAAGCGTCTTCGTAGAATTTCGACATTGTTGAAGTCGATCTTATGTCCGCTGTCTATAGATAGCATGCATTTCTGTAGCCGATCTTTTTTCTAGACTTTTTAATTCTACTTCATTTTTAGGTGGACATTTCGTGCCTAGTCTATGTTCATTCACCCTGACCTTCACCTGTCTACTGCTCTCCCCTATATAGCATGCTTCACATTCTGAACACTATCCTGTAGACACAATTACTTTGTGACATTTTGGGAACCATATGTTTGACTATCACCAAAGCTTTTTCTAGGGGATTAGAGGGCTTGAAATAGACTTTAATATTATACTGAAGCAAATAGTCTTTGAAGTTGTTCATCTGTGTCCTTTCGATATGGAATAGCTATCATCGACAGTCAAGATTTGTCAATTTCGACTACATATTTAGATGATTAGTAAGATCCGAACAAATCTGCTGAAGAAGCTGTGGCTTACACGGCAAAACGTCCAAAAAACCTTGTTTTGGATTTTTCTTAAATACACTAGGATTAATTTAAATAATTTATAATGAATCAACCTGACCCGGTGCTCAAATTATTCCGGGAAGTTCGTAACGCCTACGGTCTGGAAATTTGTAAATGAGACAAAAAGTTGTCAGACGAGGTTGTTTCATGTTCACATTGTAAAATGGATCCATACAGCCATTGACTTAGAAAGTCAATTTCAATTTTAGTCACTTTTTGCATCTTCATACAACTTATAAATCATGTCAGTAGCACCTGCCAAACAGTCAACATTGCTATCCTGGTCTGCTAAGAAAACTTTAAACTCACAAATTCTAAGTTATTTGTCTTAATTAATCGGATATTCAGTTTAGTCTTAAATTCAGGTAAATTATCGCAAACGCGCATGTTCTAAACTGTAATCTACTGATATTATTCATTCAGTTTTATTTAAAATATTAATGTAGCTAATAGCAACACTTCTTTAACTATTATGTGTAAATGTTTTCGTAGGACATGATAAAGGGGAAGTTACCGTAAATAATATTCTTTGTTCACTAAACAATTTGGGATTGATGATAATTTACACCAGTATATTGTTTTGATTTAGTATTTCCGATCATTATCAAATTATATATACACATATTTTGATGTGGTTGTGTTCTATGGGCTGGATAGTTAATTTCCAGAGCTTTCGTTGCCCTACAAGGCAGCATCTTCAGCGCATACTTCAATTTGAAGTGAGCTTTTAGATTTCTCCACCAGTATATTAGTCATCTCTCGTAGTGTACACAGACCGAATACTGAATTACAACAGCAAAAATCCAATAACACACAAAAGGGATTGTATACAAACACTATTCAAGTGGGCCAGAACTCATTGCAGCACTCCCACCTTAAGGAAAATTGAGGAAAGATATCTCATGCACGTCTTCCAAAAGAATGGATATCCATGGAGCTTCATCAAAAGATATATACCTTCAAGCGAACCTATCAAATCAAAGGCCCTCCAAGGAAAGCACAAAGAAAATGGCCTTACTATATATAATGGATATCTCAGAAATCACTACAAGACTCTTCAAACCTCTAGGAATTGACGTCGTACACAAACCAACAAAGTCGCTTCACTCAATTCTATGTCAACCAAGACTCAACAGCGAAAGAAGATAAAACCAGCTTCATCTACAAAATAAACTGTAACAACTGCGAAAAACACTACATTGGCCAGTGGACATACCCTTTGTCTTCGTATCCATGATCATAAGCCAGCCGTCAAAAAATATGACATCCGCTCCCTCTTATCACTACATACAGACAACCATGGACAGCAGTTCGACTGGGACAACTTTCAAACATAAGACAGAGGAAACACAAAGAATGATAGAGAATTCTTAGAAGCCTTGTATTCCAGTGAATCATCGAGATATACAAAATTTACCAACCGATAAGAAGGAAATCTCACATACAAAGGGTAAAAGTTCAAGCCAAGGAAACAATCAGTTTCAATACAAATAGTCTGGAGGGTGTGAAAACACACAAAAACAACCAATCACCTTCAAGTTCACCAGGAGAGATGACTAATATACTGGTGGAGAAACCTAAAAGCTCACTTCAAATTGAAGTAGGCGCTGAAAATGTTGCCTAGTAGGGTAATGAAAGCTTTGGAAATTAACTTTCCAGCTCAGAGAACACGACCACATCAGAATTATCCACCTTAGCTACACATCTTCTCCATCATATATATATATATATATATCTTTAGAAGAATGCTAGTCAACCGCGGACCTGGTCCTCTGTCCGATTCCCGACAGATGAGCTCCTTATTCTCACTCAGCCGGTTATAAGCCTGATTAGGAGGGTAGGTTGGGCATGTGGCTAGCATCACCACCTTATAAAAGACGAGAAGACTACTGGAACTCCGAAATCCATTCGTAAAACTCAGTGTTCCACTAGGTAGGTAAGTGAATGAAATACATATTTTTTTCTGTATAAGAACTATTGTACATCTATGAAAATGAAGTTGTAGGAAATAAAGAATTTTCTTAGCTAACATAATTGAAATCAACCCTATACGAACTCACTCAACTGAATAATAATTATTACAAATTTAACTGAAGAGAACATATTTCCCCCAAAAAGTGGTTGTATCTCGGAGGGATACTTCAATTTGTAATATTTTATGAAAACGTTCCCTGTATATTCCAATTTTTGGCATTTAGAAAGAAAAATGTAATGCTATTTAAGTAAAAATGATGAATATGAATGCCTGTGCGTATGCATAGACATCCACAGATCCACACAGATATTTCGGTAATGAGATAGATGTCAGCCAGCTTATTTGCATAATTAAACCGCTTTTTGTCTGTAGGAGAGAATTTTAAGATTTGATTGAAAGACTTTTAGAACTTGTTCTAATAATAGTAAAAACAAGAACGATTCGTCATTGTTACAAGTTTTGCTAGAAGAGTAAGTAGGCAAAGACACAACTTCAAATAAACGCAGAAAAGGCAGGGACGATGACAGTACTTAGCTGACAAAAATTTTAAACAACTATCAGTCACTACCAGTGTGAT